TAGGCAATTTATTCCAGTGTTTAACCACCCTGACAGTTAGGAACATATTGGCGATATATTGGCAGTTTCCCTGTTTCTAGTAAGTAAACAAACAAAAAAATTGGAAAATCTTCCCAGGCTTTATCTAGTTCTGACCCATTCAGGGGTGCTGGAACAATTTGTATAGTGGGGGTGCTGAGAGCCATTGAACCAAACCCTGGATATGATGGAAACCACTTCAAGCCGGAGGATGCCGCAGTACCCCTAGGACTCCTAGTTCTAGCACCCGTGGACCCATTTGCATGTGATAGATCACACTTATTTTCCTTGAAGAGGCAAATGGGAGGCCACAAAAATCAAGGTCGCAAGCCATAAAAGGAGAACCTGTCCTTTTAGATATCATCTCCCATCACAAGTCAAGTAGGGAAAGAAATTGTCTGATTTAGAATAACATAGATTTATAGTAACACTCTTAAAATTGGTATAATCTCCCCCAGAATGTCTGCAACTCAGACAGTGGGGGAAGAAGGGGTATGAGCTGAGGGGTGAAAACATTATGCTTTGCTCCAGAACTCAAAAATACACCATGCAAATTTAGTTTTGCATTTTCAGGTGTGGAGGTAGATGGGGGTTTAATAAAGGGTCTAAATCAAGATCACCTGGGACCAATAGCTTATATGCTAACAAATCATGCATGATTCCAGTAGTGATTAGTGTTGAAAAATTAATTACCATGGCAACTCTGCCATTGAATCTGAGAATCCATTTACAGTATCATAGAACCGCAAGTTCAGTAGTGCAAAAATATACCTACTGGAATTGTATCCAACCTTTCAATTTAATGAACGTTCCAAACACCTTTAAAACTTTTTTCTTTTTCTGCATATTATTAACTCCTGGTTCCACTGGATGTGGAGTCAAAGGTATAAGAAGTCTGACCCGAGCTCAGATGTTTCCCTCAGCTATCAGTTCTTGATGCTGTCTCTATATTGCCTAAGGGCCAAATTATGTCTGGCCCTGTGCAGACATGCTAATCGGTGTGGAGAGAAGATGTAAGGAGCCTCGAACTACCAAACCTAAAATAGCTGTTAACTCCCGCTCCTGGAATATCTCAGGATGTAGCCCAACTGCCCTAGGCGCGTGTGCACATCCACACACACACCCAGTCTCAGTCATGCCTCTCCAGTGGTCCACCCTCGTGTGTACCCTGAATTACTGTTTCACCCTTTGGGAACTTGGGGACAGTTAAAGCAAGTACCACACAGACTTAATAAAGGCACCTCTAACCACACAAACTGTACTCACAGACAAAGCACCAGAGTTATACAGATCTATGGAAAAATAACAAACATCTGTGTGCAAGACCTTCCCTCAGATTCCTCACCCCTCCTGAGCGTCCTTTGGATCGTAGTCACTGTCTTCCACGGCATCCAGGATTCTTCTGCACCTCCGGCTCCTCCTGCCCAGTCTTGTCTTCTGCATTCCCTTGCTGGAGAGAGTCTCTGTTTTAACAGCAGATTCTAACTTTTGTCTTTGCCCTTGTCTTTGCCCTGTCTTTTTTCCATTCATAGCAGCCCTCTGTGTTTGTTACCCTAGATCAGAATCATTAGCAAGTCAATAGTCTTTGGCTGGCAATTTCAGTACAACAGGAGCATGTCAGCTGTGCTCCTCTTGAACGTGGACAAAAAGGGCAGCAGCAGGTCTTGATGCCTTTACTGTTTGGATAAATATCAACGATTGGGCTATCTACATCCATTGTCTGCCTTCTTGCAGAAGTGTAACCCCTCCCCCCTGGACTACGTTAACTCTTGTAACCAGGTAACAGATATCATGATAGTAGACCAACAGTAAATATACATTAATTTAAAAAATACAGATAATCTCCCATATTCTTCACAAACATGCTAAATAATTCTTGATCATTTACAACCTTAAAATATCCACAAACTCTTATATTCCCATCCCCTCTGCTTAATTATCACATGTCAATAGCTAGAGTGATTTTTCCAGTTTCTAGTTATTTATATAGCAGTGCTGTGACTGAGCTCTGGAAACTAAAGATGTGAGTTGTACCTTTTAGATGCACTGAGTTCTCTGCTTTGTGCTCTGATATCCCAGTGAGGCATTTCATTTTAGAAGGAAAAAAACACATTATCTAAATATGAACGGAGCAATATCCTTCTCCCAGTTGCTTGCTTTCCTTACATAGTGGCCTCATAAAATGCAACTATCTCCTCAGGTCAGAATATATTGCAGAGTTAAAACAGCTGTAATTGTAAGTAACTCTAAAAGCTGGACCAATTTCTATATTTTCTCACTAAGGAAATTAATTCTCTGCTGTGATGAAAACCTGTAGTCCAACAGCCATATGCTCCCCTGCCTTTGCATACTTGCTAACAGTCTCAGACAACATCCCAGGATTGTTTACAGCTTGCAACAGAAAATATCTTTCCATCCCACCTGATACCAGGAGCTGTTCTCTGTCTTGGCTGAACAGTCAGCCAGAAATCAGCAGCTGAAACCTTTCTCCTCAGCCAACATGTTCACTCAGTGCTTTCATTTCTTTGTGACTACTCCCATCTCTGCTTCTGCTTATTTAACAGCACAAACCACAGCAGGGGAGTTAACACAAAGCCGTGAGGGCGATGAGTAGTCTGGGCAGGGAGAGAAGTCTGCTGGCCAGATACTTCAGTCTTCCACTCCCACTTCCCCCACCTTGAAGACTCAGAACCTCTGAGGAGAAGCCTGAATGGAAGAGAGAGGGAAGCCTGAGGAAGTAGAATGGGTGGGAAGAATTTGAGGAAGGGGAGAAGGGGGAAAACTTAGATGCAAATGCCACCCACCATCTGCTGAAAGTCTTGAACCCCCCCCAACCCTAGGTCCCAATTTGTAAGAGTGGCCTTCAGAGGAAAAATGCACCTGTGCATTGTGGGCCTTGTCCAAAGCCCATTGAAGTCAATAGAAAGGCTCCCATTGATGCTTAAGGATTTGGGATCCGATTCCATGTCTCTTTCTGCACCATGTAGCTGCAATCATTCCTCCACACAATTAATGTGCCACAAATAATCTGCAGATATCTGCAGATTTGCAGGGCTCTACACTGGGGGCCAGGCTGAGGCTCTGAGGCATCCCCCCTGCCAGAGCCTGGTTGGGGACAGCTGCATGGGCAGCTGTAGGGAGCCCGTGAGCAGTTGCAGACCCTCCACCTGCCCTCGGCTGGGCGAGCAGCCTGGGGGGCGGGAACACAGCTGGGGGCTGCTCTCAGCCCCCCACCCTGTCCCGTCCTGCGGGCAGGTGGAGCATCCGCCACGTCTCTCTGGCTGGGCTCCACACTGGCCTGGCCGGGGGAAGCGGGCAGACCTGTAGAGCTGCCTTGGGGCTGCTCGGGCCCCCCCCCCAGGGCAGGTGGAGGATCCGTCGCAGCTCCCCACAGCTTCCCGCCTGGCTCTGACCCACGGCAGACCCTCCATTTGCCCTGGGCAGGGGCCCAAGCACCCCACCGCCTAGTGTCCCAGCCCTTTCCCTGTGTTCCTGCCCCCCAGCCCCCTGCCAAATGTCCCAGCCTCCCCAATCAGTGTCCCTGCCCCCAGCCCCTCCGCCCAGGGCAGGAGGAGGAACCCAGGCTCCCCACAGCTGCCAGCGTGGCTCTCCCCGACCCGGTTCCAGCCAGGGGGGAGGCGGCTTGGAACTGCAGCCTGGCCATGGTAAGAGCCAGGCAGGCAGCTGTGGGGAGCCGTGCCGGCCCCTCCACTGCCCTGGGTGTGGGGCCCAAGCAGCCCCCCGCCCAGTGTCCCTGCCCCCCAGGTTCCCCGCCCAGGACAGGTGGAGGATCCGTGCCGCAGTTCCACACAGCTGCCTGTCCGGCTCTTACCAACAGAGCCCTGCGCGGATACAAAATTGGTATCCACATCCGCGCTGCTATCCACCGAAATGGTCCACACCTATAAAGCAGATACCCACGGATTTGTAGGGCTCTACTTGTAAGTTACTACTGTTCTAAACAGCAGAAACTTCCACTACATTCTCTTTGATTCCTATCAAAAAGGTCACAGTTGTACTACCTACTATGGGGGGCTAGGAACAGCACAGCAACTGCTAGGGGAGACCCCAGGACACAGGTTTTGGCTATATTTTTTTCTGTGCCTCTATAGTCCTCCATATTTGGGGTGTCAGGGCAGTATACCTGGCTTCAAATCTTTGCAGCCAAGTATAATATCCCTTTCATATCCCCTCCAGATTCCTGAAAAGGACTTTTGAACAATAACAGAAGAAACTGAGCCAAGACTATCCATTCCAGATTTTACCCTCAGCCCAGAGCATTCTGGATCCAGATATTAGCTGTTTAGTCATTACTGGGTGAATACTCATAAAATGCAGACATGATAAATAAGCCCAATAATTACATCCCTCAATATCAATTTAAAGAGATCCCCAGTAATCTGGGACATACCATTAGGAACTTCCTTTCAGTGCATCTTTACACAAAAAGTAGAGGCTATATGGCCCTAATAGAATTTTCAGTTCAACAGTGTTTTTCCCCTCAAAATAATAAGGTCAAGAAAAAAGGAATTAACAATTCCAGTGCTGACATATTCACTGTAGTATTGCAGATGGAATGATGCAATAGACAGATTTATTTTAAGTCATATAATTCTGCTACTTGTATTTTTTTAAGGTGAAAGCAAATGTAACCAAACAACAGTACGTCTGCTACTTCTTAAATGGGTACTTAGCAAAAGCTTAAAGGAGCTTTAAAAATAAATGCACTGCAGTGCTGTCTGATCTCTAAACCTCAGACATTCATAGTTTGACTAGTTGAGATTCTTTAAAACAAATAGCTCACAAATGAATAATTCTGCTGCAGAATGCATCAACCCCGTCTTTATAACATCCTAAATAGTGAAGCATAATGGATAGACAAAGTGCTTAAATAAACCATGGAGCAATTTCCATCAGCAATATGTTAAAAACTCATTTTAAATTATTATCAGATGATGGGATAAACACAGAGTTTTAAAATAATAATAGATTTAGGGCTGATTGCAAGAGGCTCTGAGTACCAACTACTATTGATTTCAGTGGGAGTCGTGTGCTCAGCACTTCTCAGGGACAAGTTCATTACTCTCTATAAAGGCATGGGTATGTGGAAAAGTCTCCTGTGGTACTGGTGGGCCTGTAACATTTTATGTCAATTCTTACTAGAATAAATTCCAGTCTAGTGGATAAGGGATTGCACCCGGAGTTCAGTGTAGCATCTGGGTTCTATTGCAAGCCCTGTCATTGAGCTGCTGTGTGACTTTGGGCAAGTCACTTCACCTCTGTGAGCTTCTGTTTCCACTCCTGTTCGTAATTGCTCCATTGTTATCTTGTGTTCTCCCAACCTGTTTTCTGTATCTGCCTGTTGTCTCTGATCTTATACTTAGGCGATGTCTACACCTGCAATGGCATGTACAGTACAGCTGCATGCCACAGTGAATATCAGGCTGTGTCCGCACTTGTCACTGTGGTGCGTATAGGGTGACCAGATGTCCCGATTTTATAGGGACAGTCCCGATATTCAGGGCTTTTTCTTATATAGGCGCCTATTACCCCCCACCCCCTGTACTGATTTTTCACATTTGCTATCTGGTCACCCTAGGTGCGTAGTTACACGTGGCAAGGAAAGACTCCAGCAGTGGGAAATGCTCTGGCAGTTTCTCGCTGCTGGAGCCTTTCTCTGCGGCAGGGTAAGGCTCTGCCGGGGGGTGGCAGCAGGGAAAGGCCCTGGCAGCAGAAAGATGCCAGAACCTTTCCCTGCTGCCTCCCCACTGCCAGAGTCTTACCCCACTACCGGAGCCTTTCACTTAGGCGGGGAAAGGCTCTGGCTGGGGGGGTGTGTGTGTAAAAATAACAATGTTAGACATTGGCGGCACTGCTTGTGCATGTAGAGAGCTGTGTTGGGTATATACCATGAGGTTTTGGCATGTAGGGCCCTCTGCTAAGCTGTGCTTTATCGTCTATACTGCTGTTTATACTTGTGCTAGCTGGGCATGCAGTGACCGTGCTGTACACGTTGCCGTAAGTGTAGACGTACCTTTAAATTGTAAGCTCTTTATGTTCTGTGTTTGTAAATTGCCTAGCACAATGGGACCCTGATCTCTGGTTTGGAACCCGTAAGTGCTACCACAATAATAATAATAGTACTATCAATGATACATTTTATGTATGTGAGCGTGCATAGACATTTCATTTGTGAATAAACATATATATATATAGAGAGAGATGTGAATTTATTTAGATGTATGTGTGTGCATGTATATACATTATAAAATAAAGAAAGAGAGAGAGTTTTTAATACCACTCTATGTTCCTTTTACCCATGCTCTAGGAGAAGGGTATTTTGGATTCTATCAAAGATGAGTTTACTTGATGGCTATTTTAACATTTGTGGAAGCATTTTACACAAAAATACGTCTTGCAAAGAGCTTTTGATAAAGAGTGCTCTAAT